TTGGTGACATCTGTGCTCACAAGCAGATGTGGTGTAATCGTTTTTAAAGGACCCCAAAGCAAACTGGTGTTTTGGGGTTTTTTTATTAACAGCTTCAGGCATGTTTCCAGGCATAAATATTGTTGTTTATTTTCTGTGAATAATTGAGATCTAGATTTTTTTTCTGCACATTGCTTAAGTGTAAAAACGGTAAATGTAAAGCTGCTGAGAAGCTGGAGGTGTGCAGCCTGCAGTCTGTGCTCGTTTCTTCTTTTTTGACACGTTGCCGTTTCCATTTTTATTTTTACACGATTTTATAATAAAGTGAAGAACATTCCTAAGCAAGTCATAGGTTTGTAGAGTTCTACATTTATGCAAAGAGTCAATGTTGGTCCTTTACAATTTATGCAGTTCTCTTTTGCATGGTGGATTTAAGCTTCTGTGCTAAACTTGCTTCCAATTCAAGTTTTATCAGGGCTGAGAGCGCATCAATGTGTAGGCGTCTGCCTTTCCACTTGCTTTTTAAGAAACGACCGTGGATTCTTAAGCAGATGAAGATGTGGGGAGGTTACTAGTCATTAATTCAGAATGTTAATTGATCATCTCTGAGCCCTTTGAACATTACTATCATGTGGCGGGCGATCGTGGCTCAAAGAGTTGGCAGTTCGTCTTGTAACCGGAAGGTTGCCGGTTCGAGCCCCAGCTCGGACAGTCTCGGTTGTTGTGTCCTTGGGCAAGACACTTCACCTACCGCCTACTGGTGATGGCGCGATATGGCAGCCTCGCTTCTGTCAGTCTGCCCCAGGGCAGCTGTGGCTACAACTGTAGCTGCTTCCACCAGTGTGTGAATGTGAGAGTGAATGAATAGTGCTATATAAATGCAATCCATTATTATTATGTTGGAAAATGTACAGATCTGCCTCTGCCAAAACATCTGGATATGATTATATTATTTTGCCCTTTACCAAAAAATAGTGACTAAAAAAAGAACAAATTTAATTTTGTTTTATTAAACATTATTTTTAGGTATGTGTGGCAAAGTATAGATGTCCTGTGGCTAAAATTAACCAACTAAAAGTAACTAAAATTCAACTTGTGTTTTGCAATTAAAAATTTTTTTCATGATGTTCTGGAAGTTGGAGGTATATTGTGTGCAAGAGCAGTAAATAAGCCACAGACAGACAATGTAAGAAAGCACTTTCTCACTGTTTAGCTTTTTAACATGCCAGTCTTTGCACTGCTTTTAGGACAACTTGAAATTTTGACCTGATGATGGCACTAGAGGAAGGACTTTTTTTCCCCTTCTGTCCATCTAAAAGTAGTTGAGATCGTTCAGAGTGGAACAGAATGATACCCAGGCCAACAGCCCAATGTCTCTTCCCCTCCTGCCATGCTGCTGGTGCAGTTAAAGAACGGTTTATTTTTTTTAACTCAAACGCTAATATCATCTTGTTGAATTGGCAGAATTGCAAGCTACATCGTGACCTTCAGAATATATAAGTGCTTCTTAGTTGTTTCTTGGACTTGACACATTTCTGGAAAACCTGATAATCCATCTGAATATTTCTGGAAAAGTTGCCTTTTTCACTCTTAGTGTCCCATAAATATTCTGAGTTCAAGTCAAGTGACTTAACAGTGATTTCAAGTAGGGATGCAACGTTACCAATTTTTTCAAACCGATACGATACTGATACTTGGATCTGAGTACTTGCCGATACAGAGTACAAAAAACGATACTTCTACCACACACACACACAAATGCAATGAATTGGAAGACAGGTTTTATTATATTCTCTGCCGATAAAAAATAAAATCTTAATAAAAATGACCAAAATGTTATTTAAATGTCACATCGTTAACAGTT